CGGTGCGCGGAGTTGTGGCCTCGGGAGGAGGGCGATCGTCCGGGACGCGGGGGCTGCACCACCACACTTTCTCCAAAACACAACAGGGAGGTTTACGGTACCCGCGGCAGGGGGAGGGGCACTGACCCCCTTCCCGTCCGCCCCCGAAGTGACGTCCGAGTCTTCCAGGTGAGAAGGGTGCCCTCATTCAGCCCTAACCCCCACCCCCGGCCGAGGGTCGCCGCTGGTTGGAAGCCGGGCCACAGGGAAGGAGGAAAGCCTCGGGCTCCAGAGGGAAATGCCGGGGGCTCAGTGCCCCAGGCTCCGGTTTACACTAGGAGGGCCACCTCTCCTTTCCACGAAGCCCCGTTTCCGCGGGCGCCGAACTTACGGATGGGGCTGGGGAGCCCAGGACGCCCCAAATTCCCGGGGAGCTGCTTGTAGTGGGTGACGGTGCGCGCCTTCCTTCCAGCCCCACCCCCTAAACACACCCTGCCTGTCCCCTCCAACTAGCGACCCTTTGACCCCTGGCTGTGTCTGAGGGTGGGGAGGGGAGCCGATGATTTCACAGGAGGCCTGGCACACAGCTAGGGGGCAGACATAGTTTGGGGAGGGCTTACCAGGCATCCCAGGTGTGTGTCTTGTGTTCAAGGCCTTTGTAAACTATGTAAATGTGTAAACTATCAAGGAGTCCTGCTCAAATTCCACTCTGTGTGTGTGTGTGCGCGCGCGCGCGCGCTCCAGTATGCCCCTGTGCAAGCCCTAAGCTCGCAGACGTCACCCACCCTCACCCCAGCACCTAGAGAGAAGCCCTTTAAGAGCACTGTGTGTAACCCCAAATCTGGAGGGCCTCCATTTCTGGGGAGACTGCTCCCAGCTGGGCCTGCCCTTGTTCGGGACACCCAGCAGTTTAGCAGTAGAGCTGACCAGGGCTGGTGAGCGCCAAGGCCTGGCTGGTGTTTGGCTGGTGGTGAAATAAGAAAGCCAGGAGGATCCAGACACAGGAGGTGAGCAGACCACGGGGTGTTACAGGAACCGGAAGGCGACTGGCTCCCAGGAGGAGGTACAGGGTTGTGGTAGGGGAGTGTGTAGGACACTGGGATGAGCCTGTCTGCCCAGAGCTGCCCTCTCCTGGGGCGGGAAAGGATAGCTCCTTTGTCAGACTTTGAGTCCCTTTCAGAAAGTGGTATTTTTGGGGTTATATTTAGCATGCATTCCCTGGGGAACGGGCCATGGAAGGCCTACTCTCAGCCTGTCCCCCGGTGGATAGGGGACATTCGTGGTGCTTGGAGTCACACCCAGAGGCCCCCTCAAACACGATGGCCACTCTGGAAACGTGGCTGTAGAAATCTACCCTGGGCATAGCCACCGAGGACTCCAGACTTTGTTTCACTTGTAATCTCTGTGAAGCGATCCTGGACCATGTCCTTGCGTTGATTGGAACCCACGTGGTTCCTGCTGTATGTGTTCTGAGGTGTGACCGCTCTACAACGTTCGCATAAATGTAACTGGCTTGTTTTTCAGTAGATTCCTAAAAGCCTCTGTTTGTATTATTAGAGACTAACACCTCTCCCCCCCACTCCCCCGGAGGTCAGGCTGGGTATCCTTGGTAGAAACAGGATTTACTGAGAAAATTCCAGTGTACACCAGATGTGTGTGTGTGTGTGTGTGTGTGTGTGTGTGCGTGCACGTGCGAATGTGTTGGGGGAAGGGCAAAGGTAAATTTCCTTAGGAGTCCCTGGACAA